AGATAGGTATATAATAGCTCAACGACTCAAGGTTAAATTAACTCAAACAATCAAATTAGATTAAAAAAATCCAGTTTAAATTAAATGAGAAAAAATAGATATATTAAATATGTCACTTTTTTATTAAGTAATGGAATTAAATACATACAGTATAACAAGTCAATGTATGCAATTTGAACTTAACTCATAGTAAAAATTGCTCTATCCAGTTGGTTGTTTAGTGTAGTGGTGATTGTGACTATACTTGGTACTTTGGTAGGGAGGACTCGTGTTCGATCTTTCGTAATAACAATCGGGAGGGGACTGAAATCTAACCACCCAAGACTGATCCCTGAATCCGGAATAACCCAAAGGGTGAATTGGGTGGAACTCAAAAAAAAAATAGTAAAAATTGCTCTACAAGGCAATGATTAAAAAAAATGGAGGGAATTAGTTAAGTAAATTACTGAAGTATTTAGACAACCCAATTTTTTAATTTTTTTAAAAACAATTAGGGGTGAAAAGTTTGGTTTGCGGTTTGGATTATAGCCAAAACCGAATCCAATCCGAATTAATTCAGTTTCAGAAATCTCAATCTGGATCCAAACCGAATTAAGATTCAATCCAATCCAATCCAATCCAATCCAAGCCGAATTAATTCAGTTTTTCAAATTAGAATCCAATCTAAATCGAAATTTGTTCCTTTCTTTTGCAACATTTAAATCCGAAACTCGAATTTCACCCTTAAAATTCCTACAATCATTTCTTGTTAACTACATTTTTTGTGAGAGAGTAAGATATTGAGAAAGAAGAATTGAGAATTAGGTTTTTTTTTTTTTTTTTTTAAAGTTTATATATAAAAGGGGAAAGTGGTTGTATAATTTGAAAAAGAAAATGGGCTTAAAGTATTGGGTCGAAATTCGGTTTGTAATTTGGTTTTCGGTTTTTTTAAACCCCAAACCGAATTAAATCCGTAATCCATATTTTTTATATTTTCCAATCTAATCCAATCCGAATTCTTATAAAATCCAAACCGAATTACTAATTCGATTTGGCTTTCGGTTCGCTTCGATTTAAATCCGAATTACTTTCACCCCTAAAAACAATGTAGACAACCCAATTTTAGACATTTTATATACTATAAAAAAAAATAAAAAAAATTAACGGAATCCATCATCAATTTTGTCATACTAGTGTAATCAAAAAAGAAAAAGCATGTGGGAGCAACACTACACTACAAAAACTGTCACCTCTCAAACAAATTAAATCTATTCAGTATTCATAAACCTAGTAATAATCATTTTCCAAATTAATTTTCGTACTTTAATTTAATTCTATTAATGGAGAGTAGTAGATATAATTGTTAGGAGCTTGATTTTTCAACATCAATTTCAACAGGATGATTTTGGTCTCTGCCTAACTGCGCAATATGTTGACTGAATTTCTGGGTTTGGTGATTGCTTTTTCCTTGACTGTTTGAGCTGAAAGGTTAGATTTTTCTTCTTGATACAGTAATTTGAATTGTGTAATTGATTATTGAATTTGTGGGTTTTTCTGGGATTTTGTTGAATTTGAGTTTCTGCAAATTTGATTGCCAGTTTTTTAGTATGATTTGATATCTTAAATGGGCACTTTTCAATTTGATAGGAGATTTATTCTTGAAATTGAAATTGGGGTTTTGAGCAGATTAAAAGGGAGTATTTAGTAACAAAATTGGAGCTTAATTATGGAGAAAGTAGGGGATTTAGGAGGTAAAACAATGGAGAAACAATCGAGTATGAGACGGGTGATAGAGAAACAAGTAAGCTTTCGAAATGTTGGGGAGAAACCTGAGAGTTCTGGCAAAACTATGGAGAAAAATGGGAGTTTTCGAGGCAGTGTAATGGAGAAACAGAAGAGTTTTCGTGGATTGTTGGAGAAACAGAAGAGTTTTCATTTGAAGATGGAGAGGCAATTTAGCTTTGGTGGCAATGAGAGGAGGAAAAGCAAAGAATCCCCGGGTAAACGAGGCGATTCGCCCCTTCATTTGTTTGCTAGAGCTGGTAATTTGGGTAAAATCAAAGAGATGTTTCAAAATTGTGAGACTAGTGATTGTAAGAAGCTGCTTTGTAAGCAAAATCAAGAAGGAGAAACTCCTCTTTATGTTGCTGCTGAGAATGGGCATGCTATGGTGGTTGCCGAATTTTTGAAGCATTTGGACTTGGATACAGCATCAATAGGAGCTAGGAGTGGTTATGATCCTTTTCATATTGCTGCTAGACAAGGTCATATTGGTAAGGATTTCGATTCCTTTGGCGAAACATTGTTCTTGTATAAGTTCATACTCAACAGTAATGCTTTGGTTTGGCTTTGACTTATGTTGTTGTATGTCCGTCTAATTATTAACCATGTCAAAGTGTGTATTTCTTTTTTAACATGTTAATCAACCTTGTTTTGTGATTACTATATACTTGTAATCTTGTATTTACTGGCCAGCATCCTTATCAACTGAGATTATCATTCTGTCTCTTATGATACTTTTAATTATGTTTGGACAGCAGCTTCAAAAGGCTATTAGGGGGTAGCAGTTGTAGCATAATCAAATTAGAAACTTTTGTTGTGGAAATGATCCCTTTACTAGTTTCGACTAATTACTGTCAAGTGTTCTGGTGTGATGCTTTGTACATTTAGCCCCATAGTGATACTTGGTTCTTGTTGTAATTAATGGACAAGGGAAAGCAAAAACAAAATGTATAAGCAGATCCACAAATATGCCTAAACTATGTATTCCTATTTAGCTATTTGCCTTGTCAATGTTCTGCAATTTGGCTTTGGTATACAGCAGTTAGGGCCTTTTAGCAAGTGTACTTGAAAGGGATGATTTAACATCTATGATTAAAATTTTGAATGGCCTATAACTTATATGCCATGAAGTTCTAGTTCTTGGGTTTTTTATTTTTTTGTTATTCTTATGAATCCTTTGAGCTGGAATCAGTTGATGGTTTTTCTGATTTGAGGATGCAGTCTGCCTTTGGAAATTGTTTTGTTGTGTAGATTTGACAGATTTGTTCTGTACTTGCTAAGCATATGTTCTTATGGTGTCCAAGTTGATGATTGCCTGTGACTTGTTGCAGTAGTTGAATTACATATTGAATGTTTGGTTAGTGCTGCTTAATCTCTTACTGATGCGGCTGTTAATTACGCAGAGGTGCTTAAGGAACTTCTCAGTACTTTCCCAAACTTGGCCATGACAACCGACCCATCTAACACAACAGCATTACACACAGCTGCTACTCAGGGAAATATTGATGTCGTGAATCTTCTCTTAGAAACTGATTCAAACCTTGCTAAAATAGCCAGAAATAATGGTAAGACAGTCCTCCATTCTGCTGCAAGAAAGGGATATTTGGAAGTGGTTAAGGCCCTTTTACAAAAGGATCCAAGTATTGGCTTCAGGGCTGATAGAAAAGGTCAAGCAGCACTTCATATGGCCGTGAAAGGCCAAAATCAAGACATTGTTATTGAGTTGCTTAAACCCGATCCTTCCATCTTGAGTCTGGAAGATAACAAGGGAAACACAGCGTTACACATTGCAGCAAAGAAGGGTCGTGCCCAGGTTATTTCTTCATCCTTACAATTCCCATCTCCCACAGTAGTTCCTGACTTTCTAGGTAAACCTTGTGCATTGTTATCAACATGGTATATAGGCCAAATCATAGCATGGTTGTGTCGATTTGTGTGATCATTTAGCAAGTGATGCATCTGGAATTTTTTGTATCGTAAATTAGGTGATACCTGAGTTCTGTAATGTCTGGACTGAACAGCCTTAAATATGTGAACCATTTAAAATTGCAGATTGTCAGTTGCCTTCTACAGTTTGAAGGCATAAACATCAATGCAATCAATAAAGCAGGGGAGACTGTGCTTGATATTGCTGAAAAAGTTGGACCACCAGAGCTAGTTACAGTATTAAGAGAGGCTGGAGCACTCAGTGCAAAAGAACTTGGGAAGCCTCCAAGCACAGAGAAGCAACTTAAGCAAACTGTGAGTGACATCAAACACAACGTGAAGTCGCAGCTGCAACAAACCCATCAAACTGATGTTAGGGTCCAAAAGATTGCGAAGAAGCTCAAGAAACTCCATACCAACGGTCTGAACAATGCGATAAACAATGCTACGGTTGTCGCTGTTCTCATAGCAACTGTTGCTTTTGCGGCTATTTTCCAAGTTCCTGGCCAATATCTGGAGACAAAGGAGCCCGGGGAATCTGTTGGTCAAGCTTATATTGCCAATAATAAGGCATTCATCATATTCTTTGTGTTTGACAGTGTGGCATTGTTCATCTCACTTGCTGTTGTTGTAGTCCAGACATCTGTGGTAGTCATTGAACAGAAAGCGAAAAGGCAGCTCATGTTTGTGATAAACAAACTGATGTGGGTGGCTTGTGTCTGCATCTCAGTTGCATTCATTGCTCTCTCTTATGTGGTGGTTGGCCGGCATAATAAGTGGCTTGCTATATGGGCAACAGTCATTGGAGCTGTGATTATGATTCCAATCCTTGGCTCCATGTTCTACTGTGTGATTGTGCATAGGTTGAGTGAATCAAAATCCAGACGGTTGAAGAAAGCTGAGAGCAAGTCACATTCCTATTCTATGTCAGTGGCTGAATCAGATCCAGAATTCTTGAGCACTGAGTATAAGAAAATGTATGTACTTTAATAATTCAGAAGTTCAAATCCAGAAAAAATAGCTATGTATAATTTTGTGTAATTATGCCTGATCGCCTTGTATTAAAAAATGATCCATACCATTAGCCTGACAAGGACTGTCTTTCAGGACAGGCAGTGGATCATTTTTCTAGCTGTAATGTAATCTCTCTAATGCAATTAAACCTATTGCTGGTCATCTTTATGATGGCGTGAACCAGTTACAATTCTTGATTTCAGTTTGTCAGATTTCAGTTTTTACAGCAGCTGCTGTAAAATAAAGGTGTTAAGACTAGAGAGTTAACTACACCCGATCCAAAAATGAAAGTGAATTTGATTGGTCAAATCTAATTGGCTAGTACTAGTAAACAACACCAGAGTGCAACAAAATGCACAACTGGAGGAAGCAATAATGAACTTTTACTATTTCAGCCTTTCATGGTTAATTAAGTGCAACATTTTACCACCTACATATTTTGTTTACTACACTTCTTTACACCGAAACCATTAGATTTTTAACATTACAGTGTTTTCATGATAAATGAAAAAAAGAAACTCCTGCGGCTAAATAAAGAATAAAGAATCAAATGAATAGATGAAGATATGAATCCTACAACCGATGCATGAGGATTGAAGCTCTTCCAAGTGAAGGTACCGCGACTGGTTCCATGTATTTACAGTCAGATGTTAGGTCATTCTAAGTAAGAATTGCAAACACATTTCCAATTCCACCCCAGTGGATAAAAGAAGGCTTCCGGAAAATCTAGTTCTTTAATTACGAGGGACTTCTTTTAGGACTCCCCTTGACATCAACCACGATCAACCATGTCAGGGTTATTATCACGACGTTGGCTCTCTGTTCGGTAGTGGTAACTGTTATTTCCCCTCCTAGAAGAGCTGTTTGTTCTTGAGTCAAATCGAACTGTCCTTGCTGAGTAGCAATGGCGTACACGGATCCTGTGTGTTCTAAACTCCATTAAGCTACTGCATCGAACTTTAACTGTCAAAACGGCTTCCTTATCTCTGGTGTCTTCAGACCACCAGTTTTGAGGAACACCTTCAACTAAATCTCCCAATGTGTGGAACTCTGTATGTCGCACTGTGACATCCATGCTTTGCTCCGGGTAAATCAAACCACATGCAGGCGTGATCTGCAAATATTAAGCACCATTTTTATGCACATAAATTTCAAATATGAAAGAAGATAATACTTCTATAAAACTGTCAGCAACTATTTTATGTCAATCCTAACAATGATATGCCTGATGAATTCCCTGCCCAATAACAATACCTACTTAAAAAGTCACGAGGTAAAAAAAAAAGGCGGTGTTCCTGTGATAGTTGTTTATTAGCCATCACACTAACTATGTGAAACATTACCTCAAGCCAAGAAGGAAAGCCAAAGGAAGCTCTTGGACGAAGTTCAGTGGGTTCCCCAGTGACATTGATAGTGCATTGACCCTCGCATTGGATATCAAACACTACCTTTTCGTCTTTGCTCTTGTTAGTAATCTGGAGGACAGAACTTTCCTGGTTTTGAAGAGTTATGCTACCTGTGCTAACTATTGTTTCAGGTATCTCAGAATATTCTTTTAGCAGTGTCTTAACTTCGTCACTGGTATTCATAACCTCACCAAACTCGTTCCTTCTAACTGATCTTTCTACTCTTGCTAGACGAACACTGAATTTACATCGGACAGGTTTATGATCACTGTCATTAACATCCATGCAGGCTTCATACCTGTTATAGGAAGAGTGAGTGTGAGTTTGTCGAAGGGGAGCGCAGTAATTATAAGAAATTTGGCTTTTGGTTTCAGGGCCTTTGTAGAATATAGTTCCAAATAAACATACATTTGAATTGAGGCAAGTATTGGGCAGTTCAAATTGCACTCTGATACAGGACCATTACGACAATCACGGTATATTACTCTGTCACACCAAGCAGGAATACGCTTCTTCTCACCAGAATCATAGCCTGATATCAGATAAAAGATTGTGTGAAATGAGATGAAAGAGTGGAACTTAAGCACAACAACATCATCAACCGGAAAAATGATTACCTCCTAACCCAGGTACATTCCTTTCAAATTTGTAAGTTGGAGGAAATTTAATCATGGCCTCACGCATTCCTTGGAAAACTTTACCAGCTTTCATTTCAGCTCGAAGCTGATCCTTTTCTCTTAGCCAATCGAAACTTCTTTGGGAAACAAAATCTCTTGCTTCGTCGTATGATATTCCAAAGAGCCTATAATTAAAATCACCGAGAAACACAACCATGTCTGCTTCGGATAAATCAGTCCTCGCCTCTTCAGAATTCCCATTAGCACCCTGCAAGCACAGGCACATAGAGCTTAATCAAAAGTGCACCAGTCTAAAGAAGCTGAAAACTTCTACTATATGGAATCAATTTGAACAAATAGTAGTAATCACATTGTCACATACATTAGCAGTTCGAAGCACTTGAGATGCAGAAGAAGCTCCAGCTGCAAGACAGAGGAGCAATGGGAAGCCAGAACGATAAAGTAGCCAAAATAAATATATGCATAAGGCAAGAAGGCAATACAAAAGCAGACATCGCATACCAGCAGCAACGTTAAGCAAGTGAGATTGCCGAGAAAAGACCATTGATCGGAAGATATGGTCAAAATCTGCATTACGACGATTCACTGCTTCCAAATGCGCAGCTAAGTGACAGTTCACGAAACATATTATTCTATCATGGATTCTCAACCTTAATCCAACTCCTCCCTGCAAATAAGGTTTAAAATCAATGTGTAAGATTAGAGGCTTGCCAATTTTCCTTGAACTATAAATGCAAGGTATGCTTGCATAAACTTCGTATGTAAGGCTATTGCGTAAAGGGCTACATGAGCAATACTGAAAAGAAGGAGTTTACCTTGTTACCAATTGTTCGGCCAAAACCACAAGCAACTGCTGCAACATCAAGGTCTCCAGCATGCATCCTCAAATTCTTTCTTACCCTGAAACGTAGAATAAAGATCATCATACATACATGGAAGATGGGATGCCAATCAAAGTAGCATAGTTGGTTAAGTATCGGGTCTTAGTCTAGAATCAAACCCCGTCTACATGATTGCCCTTTGTGGCCCTTTATATACCAAAAAGCAGAACAGCGACCATGAATGTATCATGGCAGCAATGAGTTATGTTCAATCAAAGAACTGGTAGAAGAGGTAAGAATGTAAGTTGTTGATACAAGGAGGTTAACATCAGGATTTAGTTACCAGATAGCTATGAGCAAACCAGCAAGCTGTCGTGAACCTACACGCTCAAAAGCGATTCCTTCATCTAAGACCTTACCAATAGCTTCTTGCCAATGCTGCCCAATGGCACTCCCTTCTAGTCCTACCTGTATGTACAAGAGAAGTTAAGAAAACATCCAAAAGTTGCATTTGACTTTCTTACTTTAAACATTGAAATTGTTCATTCCAACTACCTTTATGTAACAGTAGAACATACTGATAAGCATAATATTAGACTGTATAGACTTTATATCTAGTTGGTTACCATATATGAAGTATATATATAGTAATCTGATATGTTTATGTTTTTTAAGTAGTTTTGTTGCAGAATTCAATAGAAATGTCAGAAAATATACAGAAAAAAAGGGGGATTCTCACAGTTTCTTTTGCTGCAGACATGGCAAGAAAGCCAGCTCCCATTTCCACTTCTTGCAACCCAACCACAACAATTCCAACATCTGATACTACAGAACCTAGCCATGTTCTGAGTGCTTCAGGGTTGGCTTTCCCTTGACCAACATTCCATGATCCAACTAACATCTTTATACTTTCTCCTCTCGTGTATGTCAACTCTTTTGAAGACAATGCAGAACGTATTATATTGTCGATTGGCCCAGGGGACATAAGGTGCCATCCACGTATACCACCATGAATAGCCATGCTGAAGACGTAACCTCCACCTATTGCCATCTTTATAACCGGACTGCTATGAGCAACCCACCCTGCTAAAAGATTTCCTTCAAGGTCCAACAGCTGAACTACACCACTAGCATATCCTACCCATATCCTTGGACCATGGGTGCAAAAGCATAGAACAGCAGAAGGATGATGATTAAAATCTTGGACACGGTTTCCATTTGAATCCCATTGCAAAATTAAGCCATGTGAACCTCCACTCCAAATCGTTCCATCAGTAGTTAACACTAGTGCCTCAGTCTTCTTGTTATCTTCATTAAATGCCCCTGTACCTCTTGTAGCAACTCGGCGTACAGCATCTGCTGCACCCATTAAAGCATTACGTGATCTCTGCAAAAACCCTTGAGGCTTTTCTTTCTTTGACTGAGAAACAAACTTCACTTTCATCTCATCCTCTACCTGTGGTTGATCCTGTGGCACTGGCATCTCAGCTCGATTTTCAACTTGGCCATCAATATTAAACACTTTAATAAGTTCCTTGGTACGAGCATCCCTAAATAAGAAACCGATTATTAGGCTTATATCTTGAATATTGCCACAATTTTCACTATTAAACATGAGTTTACTATTACAAAAACTTTGTAATACAACTCATCTCATAACAAAGAGAAAAAAGACAAGTTTCTTGTGATTCAAATATTTGTATAATCATCTGAAAAGAATATAATTATATGGTACCATAAAGAAGATCTGCAAGTTAGAAATTAAGAAGGCGAGGGCATACCATAATGAGAATGATAGAGAAGTGGCACACCACACCCTTCCTCTAGCATGATCAGACAGCATAGCCTTAATATCTGAAGAAGAGATGTTGCATACACCATTCACAGTAACTTGGCTCCTCAAGTCCACATTCGCCCTCTCAACCAGCAAGGCAGCCATGTGCTTTTCCTCTGCTGATAGAGACAGCGATTTCTCTATCGAGTCCCATGGCCAAACTTTGATCACACCACCTTCTCCACCAGACCATAGGTCGCCTGCAGAACCAGAAAAGTCAAAGTTTATACAAGTGTTGTCCCATTTTTATTATTACATCAATTCTAAATTTAACAAACTAGTGTTAGTTGTCCAATTTTTATTATTCCTTCAATCAGTAGATTGAAGACAAGAAATTAACTTGCAACCAAAAATGTTGACAACCTCATTAAAGATTATCTCCATCCACTATAAGTTTGTTTCGATAATTCCTTCAAATAGAACAAATGACATTCAAGAAATCTTTATTATCAATCACATCCTATAATTGAAAATATGAAAGTATTTCTCCACTATACTCATTCTTTCAACCACTTCATTTTAATTTTCAATCCTACAAAAATTGTTCAAAATTTCATCAAGTCTTTGAGATATTGCCAATATAAAAATGAAGCGGTCATAATAACATAATTTGCTTAAAAAATTCACCCATCAAACATAAAATTAAGAACTTGATTCAAAGAAACAAAAACCTGATCCTGTAAATCAAATTCAACTACCCATTTTCATCCTTATCAAACCCAAAACATCAAAATTCAGAATAATGTATTACCATAATCAACCATTTTCCATGAATAAAATTTAAAATATTCAGCTCATAATCACCAAAGAAATAAAAAAAAAATGATTAAATTGTTTGATTTAATTACCATAGCAAGACATGATCATGGCAAGAACAGGTCCCTTATGAGCCTGCCAAGCAAGACCTTCACGAAACGGTGGCGACGACGAATCATCAGAACCATTCTCAATCGGATCCATCTTCCAGGACCGAATTTTACCATCCTTGTGTCCAGTCCAAACAAGCCTATTCCCATGATCAACCACCATACACATTGTAGGCGAAGTCACAGCCGACTCATAAAACGGCGACGTATCCTCATCCCCTCTTTTACTTTTCCCGCCAAAACCGGTACCGGCCTCGTAAGCATCCCGAAAGTACCAGAATCTCACCCCATTCTCCTGCCCTGCCCACAGCTGACTCTCCGTACATCCTATGGTACGCAAGAATCTCCCCACCTGAGTCTCCCTCAAGGGGTGAGGCCGGAGCTCCAATGCTGGGGGCCGTGTCGGGTGCACAGCAGACCTCGTCGGAGCCTTAAAAATCCCGGTTCCACCACTGGCCGTGAACTCCGCCATTGCGGAGGGCTGATCATCTTCATCAGTGTTGTTTGAACAGGAGGATGACATGGTGGTAGAAGGGAGCGAGAAGGAGTGATCATACCGCGGGTTCGAACCGGGACACGAGATGGAAGCGTAAGGGAAGAAGTCACCATCGTCGTCGGAGTCGTTGTAGAACGGCCCACCAAGGTGGCGTTGGTGGTGGTGGTGGTTTGACATTGCATTGGAGATTCGTGCTTCGTCAAGGGAATGGTTTCGGAGCTGGTTCGCCCGCTTTGAGGAGGTGTCGTTGGCGGCGGCGGTTGCGGTGGCGCCGGCGGTGGCAGCGGTGGTTCCATGGCGGTGTTGGGAGCTGAGAGAATGGGCTTTCCGGTTGGAGGGGCCGCCATTGTTTGGGAGAGATAATAACACGTCGCGGTCTTCGTCGTCCATTAATGGCGGGAATTCTTTGACTTTTGCTAACTGGTTGATTAACTTGATCACAGAAAAATAAAATTAAAAAATAATTAAGAATTAAAAGTAAAAATGAAAATAATAATAATTATTAAAAGGATGAATTTTGTGGAAATGGAGGAAGATGGGAGAATTAGGAAGAGAGAGAGAGAGGGTGGAAATGAGAAAGAAAGGTAAGAGAGAAAGGAGAGGACGAGGAAAGGTTTGAAAAGAAGGAGTGGAATAGCGGGAAAAAAGGGGGTGTAAATGGACTACATTGTTTTTAGTTATTGTTCGTTGTCTGTCATGTAAGATTAGAGAGAGAGAAACAAATTTTTTTATGAGATAAGAATGTTTTTACTTTTTAATTTGTATTATTATTATTATCCCTTTTGTAACTTGTCAACTTAAATCAGGTAACACGCGCAATATATGATGCTAAATATGTGAAATGAATATAGGCTTGTGAGTAGATTGAACGAAACTTCAGATAGCTTTATTAGAGCTCTATTGATAAATATTAGGAGCATTGATGAATTTACAACATGGCGAACAAGAGGTTGACTACTTGACTTGACCTTAAGTAGTATACTTGCTTGATTAACACCCCTAATCGCATACAAAGCTTATTTATACGTACATTATAGATTTTTATATGATTTGGAATGACTATTTGTATACATATTGTATACATTTCAATGTACAAAATCCAATCAATGTATGTATACGGAGTATAAGTTTTTGCTCAATCTAGTTTCTAATTTCACAAATTGTTAGTACTCCATATGTGAAGTTGACATTAACATAAAAGCATCCAAAATTACAGAATTTGTATGAATACATAACAAATTTATGAATATGAAAGTCATAAAAACAAACTAAATATCCTAAAAATGGCGTGCTTTAGTTACAAGAAAGGTTCCTAAAATAAAACATCCAAGTCAATGAAGGTTTTATAATGAAGAAAGTTGGCATGTTCTGAACATACGAACCAGATTATCATAATAAAGTTTTGATTATAAAAATGTTTGACTTCTGCTAAAATGTTGGAAGTGTTGGATTTGTGGGCGGCCATAAACTTGTTGTTCTTCTTAATGCCAACGTTTCAACTTACACAATCTCTGATGGGTCCACGACTTATTTATACTGTAATCAACTTTGAATATGAGCAACCAATATGCATATGTTTATAGTTTACCAATTGGTTTCAATTGACATTCACCACTCTTCGACTCCTGCCGTCCTAATTAGGGGTGTCAATTTGAGTGATCGAATTGGATCTGATATGATCGCGTTGGGTCGGGTAAAATTTTAAAGTTAAGTCATACTAAATAGTTAAGTCCATGCGAGTCTGATGTGGATTTAAACCCCTTAACTTAATAAAGAATCTAAAATCACACAAGTAACACAAGCCCTTCGAATTTCCTAAGAAAATCGAACAACTTAAGAATAACGAACCGGATATGACTTTGAAAACGACCACTCCTGGAACGAATTCAACGCCTCTCAAATTACCTAGACCACTCCTGGAACTAAGTACTTTGATGAACAAAACTTAGACTACTCCTAGAACTAAGAATTGAACGTTCTAATTATCAAAACAACTCCTTGAATTGAAAACTAGCAAAAGAATTTGTAAGCAATTAAGCAAAACAAACAATAAACTTGTATTGAATTTTCTGGTTTTGGTTTTTGTGTATACAAAGCCACGAAAAATCCCTTATTTATAGACTAAACTAACTATTCCTAAGTCTATTCGAACTAGGAAAAAAACCCTAGCCTTGATCCCCAAGTATCCTAGATAGAATAGGAAAACCAATTCTAATGGAACTAGGAAACTAGTAATAAGACTAGTTCTAATTAAACTAAAACTTCTTAAAACAATTCCTAATTGACTTAGAAATTATTTTAAACTAAAATAACAGAAATTAAGAAGATTCCTAATTGCTTAAACCAAGAAAAACCCTTTCAAGTGAAAGGTAAAAACTTGCAAGCAAAAACTCTAGAAAAAACTAAGTTAGGAAAATCTTTCTTTTCGTACTGCCGCCGAACCACCGTCTCACGCGCTGCCATCATCGACACGCGCCCCACCAACGTGTAGCTGGACTCAGGCCGGAGCTAGGGAGCCGGCGCGTGGCACCCAGATCGGCGCGTCGCCGCCGCTGCTGTCGTTGGAACCTAACTGGTCCTTGACTTTTTCTTCAATGGCTGCGCATGTTAACCATTCTTGATTCTTTACTCCAAGCTCGAACCCTATTGGCCTTAAAACCAATATGATTGGCTCTTCAAAAGAATTTCCCTCTTGATCCACATCATTCTCCCCCTCTTCAAAAGAATTTGTCCTCAAATTCACATCATCTAGGTAAGGAGTCAAATCACCAACATTAAAAGTAGCACTTACATTACCATATTCGCTTGGTAAATCAAATTTGTAAGCACTATCACCATAAACTTCCAAAACCTCAAAAGGGCCGTCAGCTCTAGGCATGAGCTTGTTCTTCCTTTTGTTTGGAAATCTTTCCTTCCTTAAGTGTAACCAAACAAGATCTCCCGGCTTGAATGTAGGTTGCTTGCGCTTTTTGTTTGACCTTTCTTTGTAGACGTTATTCATCTTCTCAATCCTTACTTTAACTTGTTCACATGTCCTCTTAAAAACTTCAAGCCGTTTCTTAGCATCAATATGTTCAATATTATCTCGACTATAGACTAATATATCATCAAGGTAAACGACAATGAACTTATTTAAGAAGGGTCTAAGTACCTCGTTCATGAGCCTCATGAATGAACTTGGCGCATTGCATAGCCCAAAGGGCATGACCATCCATTCATATAATCCTTGCTTAGTTTTGAAAGCAGTCTTCCATTCATCTCCTTCTCTAATTCGCATTTGATGGTAGCCACTTCTAAGATCGATCTTGGAAAATATGATAGAACCATGTAACTCATCAAGCATATCTTCTAGTCGTGGCATAGGAAATCGATACTTGATAGTAATGTTGTTGACCGCTCTTGAATCAATACACATTCTCCATGTACCATCTTTCTTTGGAACTAGTAAAGCTGGAACCGCACAAGGGCTCATGCTTTCACGAACATAGCCTCTTTCAATCAATTCCTCTATTTGTCTTTGAAGCTCTTGGGAAGCCGTAGGATCGCACCTATAGGCTGGTTTATTAGGTAGAGGAGCTCCGGGAATAAGATCAATAGCATGCTCTATTCCACGCAAAGGAGGTAGACCTTTAGGAAGTTCCTCTGGGAACACATCCTTAAATTCATCTAGCAACTCTTCTATGTGCATGTTTGTTGAGGAACTTGTGGATTTCGCCTCTTTTATCACTAAGGCAAAGACCGTGGCTCCCTTTTCTACTTCACTCTCAAGTTCCTTAGCATTCAAAAAGAAATTCGGCACTTGCTTCTCTTTATCTTTGGTATGACCGTAGCTTGAATTAGGGGGTAGAGGATTGAGTTTGAACCTTTTGTTTCCTATTTTGACCGAATAAGTATTTGCCTCACCATCATGTGTAACTTGACGATCAAATTGCCAAGGTCTCCCTAAAAGAAGGTGACAAGCACTCATAGGAATAATATCACACCATAACTTTTCTTTGTATTTGCCAATGGAAAAGCTTACTAAGGCTTGTTTCTTCACATGAAGTCCCTTAGAATCATCAAGCCAACTCAACTTGTAAGGATTCTCATGTACTCTTGTTGGAAGGTTGAGCTTAGTAACCATCTCTGTGGACGCCACATTGGTACATGAACCACTATCAATGATCACCCTACAAGTTCTATCATCAACTTTGCATCGAGTATGAAACAAACTATCTTGTTGACCTTGAAAAATAATTTCTTCATGTAAATTCAGTCGCTCCATAAGCATATGTTTGTTACCAAAGCCAAAATCTACGTTATCATCTTCATGTTTTTTCTTCTTTTTATGACCTTGAAGTAACTTTGCAAATTCATCCATAGATTTTCGGATCCCTTCCTCCATAATTATGTGAAAAAAACAGAAATAAAAGAACCCTTATCCACACAGGTATATCCCACAAAAATCGCAACACAACTTGGAACAAAATCGCACACAACGAGCAGTAAGTATTAAATCGGACCAAAACTGACACAGTTTCGGAAAACAGTCCAGTTTAATAGCAAACGAACTCGAAAAATTCCGAAATTTCACAGGCAGAAATTAGACAAAATTTCACCCAAAATCAAAAAAAGAATCACCTGAAAAGACCTTGTAACGAAGGAGAACGAGCCTTCTGAAGTTGACAGAAAAACTGGTTATCCGAGAACAAGTGCGATTTGATGAACGAATTGTTGAACGATCAAAACCCCTGAAATCTGATACCAATTTGATGTGGTATCACACAAGCTCTGATACCAATTTGATGTGGATTTAAACCCCTTAACTTAATAAAGAATCTAAAATCACACAAGTAACACAAGCCCTTCGAATTTCCTAAGAAAATCGAACAACTTAAGAATAACGAACCGGATATGACTTTGAAAACGACCACTCCTGGAACGAATTCAACGCCTCTCAAATTACCTAGACCACTCCTGGAACTAAGTACTTTGATGAACAAAACTTAGACTACTCCTAGAACTAAGAATTGAACGTTCTAATTATCAAAACAACTCCTTGAATTGAAAACTAGCAAAAGAATTTGTAAGCAATTAAGCAAAACAAACAATAAACTTGTATTGAATTTTCTGGTTTTGGTTTTTGTGTATACAAAGCCACGAAAAATCCCTTATTTATAGACTAAACTAACTATTCCTAAGTCTATTCGAACTAGGAAAAAAACCCTAGCCTTGATCCCCAAGTATCCTAGATAGAATAGGAAAACCAATTCTAATGGAACTAGGAAACTAGTAATAAGACTAGTTCTAATTAAACTAAAACTTCTTAAAACAATTCCTAATTGACTTAGAAATTATTTTAAACTAAAATAACAGAAATTAAGAAGATTCCTAATTGCTTAAACCAAGAAAAACCCTTTCAAGTGAAAGGTAAAAACTTGCAAGCAAAAACTCTAGAAAAAACTAAGTTAGGAAAATCTTTCTTTTCGTACTGCCGCCGAACCACCGTCTCACGCGCTGCCATCATCGACACGCGCCCCACCAACGTGTAGCTGGACTCAGGCCGGAGCTAGGGAGCCGGCGCGTGGCACCCAGATCGGCGCGTCGCCGCCGCTGCTGTCGTTGGAACCTAACTGGTCCTTGACTTTTTCTTCAATGGCTGCGCATGTTAACCATTCTTGATTCTTTACTCCAAGCTCGAACCCTATTGGCCTTAAAACCAATATGATTGGCTCTTCAAAAGAATTTCCCTCTTGATCCACATCAGAGTCCAAATCTGAATAGGATATTTTTCGGATCGGGTTGGATCGGGTGTGCTTTTGACACCTCTAGTCCTAATGTCTCATTATGTCTCTTATTTTCAATCTACTATGTACGAAGTATAAGAATTCATTTTCTTCGTCACGTATGCCTGTACGGTTTATTCTCTCCATTTTAAATTAATAGTCCAAGATTGATTTCGATGGAATTATAATGAATTAATTAAAAAGAATATTTTATTAGGGATTTTTTAAAAATAGTGATGGCTGTTTTAATTATTGAACCCAAACAGAGAGGAAAAAAAAAGTTTTTATAGATCGAGAATATGAAGAATGCCTTTTTGGTCCCTTTCGTTTGGTGGTTAGGAATTTTATTTACTATGATTGGAATTATTATTAGTGCATCACCACTAAGAATATGATAAATACAGGGTATTCATGTAAAACCATGTCATTAGACTCATTACACTTCTAAAGGGTTGAAAGTTTTCGGATAATGTTACTCCGTATTAGAGACAACTAATGTGATCACGTGGGAAATCAACTAATTTAGTTGATTAAAGTATTAAGGGATGAAACTTAAAATATGAGATCGAATCCCGTCATCATTCTCTCTACACCAATATAATAAAAATAAAAATATGACAACTAATTACATATAGAGGGGTATTTAAAAACAAATTGAATGCGACAATTTTCTTATTTAATTGCCCTTGTACTCTGTGTAAGTCTAACCTTTCATGGGAAAAAAAAAATATATTTCTTATATTCAATAAAACTACACTTATTGTAATAGGTTCAGAGGTTGTTGGTTGGACCACAATCATTGTAATTGAGATGTTGCAAAACACAAGTGATCATAACATAGAGCAATTATAATGAGGCACGCACATTTGACACATATATGTCCCTCATGCTGCAGCTAGGAAGAACGCTGGTACAGTCACAGAGAGACCTAAATGGATCATCGGCTGGATTCGTCTTTAACGTTCTATCTCTAGGGTGTATATTGGTATATCAATTCCTCACAAGGTTCATGAAATTGAAACTTAGGGTCAGTTCTCTACGACAAATCAATTGATTCGATCTAATTTTTAATAAGATGACCAAGATTAGTCAAAATAAAACGGGTGCAATAGGATTTTCTGCACGATGGGCCGGGACGCTGTATGGGCCAAGGAGTGATGGTACGTTGGACACAGTAGTTAAGTTGCAGGGTAATAAAGGTGGATGAAAGAAGGTAGGACAATGTCTGATTTGATAGTATACTAACACTATAACTCTTGAAACAACATAAATATAAGACCAAAGACAGAATTGCCTTGTACAGTTTTTTTTTTTTTGACGGGAAATAGGACCAATTTATTACTCAGACCATGAACGATCATGGATTACAGCAGAAGATGCACAAGGGGGGATCTCCTCAATCCACACCCTTGTACTCTGTATAAGAGGGGATCTCTCACATGAAGGTGTGCCAAAATCAATCTTTGGTGTGCCAAAATCAATCTTTGGTGTGCCAAAATCATTTCCCAATAATTATGTCTCGTTTGGTACACTTACTAAGTAATGAGATTGATTGTGGGGAGAATTTATGCAGTAGTTGCTACAAAACCCCAGTGTGACAATGTTGAAAGGGAAATGAAAAAGGGGGTGGGACTTGGGAATGGGGGCAAACACATTTGAATCCCACATACTTGTATGTATCGAACTTTCGCAGTTTTCCTTCAAACAAAGAAATACTCTGCATTACTCGTTCAATGATAGATTGATAGAGAAAAATGGTGACGTTTTTAATATATATACCTGAGGTATACAGTAATATAGTTTTTAACCGACCTTTAAAGTGTTCTGGAACACAAGGTCGTATTAAAAATTCCTATTTTTATTCATTTTTTCTTAAACATAATGCACCATTGTTGATCTTCAATTGCGTAAATATATGGCCAATATTCTCCGGATATTATGGTGGAGTGCTTTCAGGCTTCAGCTTTGGTTAGACATGTACATGAAAGCACTTCCTCATTACCTTTATAGACATCCAAATTAAAATTTTCAATAGGAATGAATAGAATGATAGCAGCAGGGGCACCTTTGTATTTTTTTTTGAAAGAAGGGGCACCATTGTAAAGTTTGCAAAGTCTTAGGGCATTTTCAAAGCGATGACGCTGTCTTCGTCCTTCGCCACCTCCCAAGCTTCTCTCTTCCCTACAAAGAAAGCTTAGTCTTAGAAGGTCTCGCAGATCAACCATTTCCTACCCCCACATATGGGAAAGAAAAAAAAAAATGACAATACAGACCTTTTGTTAAATCTCATCAACTATGACCAAAAACTAAAAGATGATACAGAATGGAGATTACAAAGTTACAGAGTACTTCTTAAGATTGATCTAGAAAAGTAATTTTAGATCATCAACTCAAATACAAATTTAAGTAATTATGGTCAAAGTTTGTGTGTTTTGACCAACGGTCATAGATGTGGCGTATTACTTGCTAACTATGACAGAGGTAACACTAAATACTTGTATAATTGTATTCAACAAGACAGAACAGAGTGAAGTGCAAAGTAACATGCATACGAACACCCATATATTAAATTATTGAACCTAAAATGCATCAAACATTTCATCAAAAGTAAGCACATTAACCCTGAAAATGCCAACTTTAGCAAGATAGCAACTTACCTTACGAGGGTCCACTGCTAGCTCATTTTCGACAATAGACATGGCTTGAAATCCTAGGGGATGCAAAACCTCTTCATAGCTACATGGAAGAAATAGATCAGGTAACCACATAACTCAAGATGACAACTCATGACAAGATCAATAAGTCAGCAAGGTACAAGAGAAACAATTCAAAACCAAAAGTTGACTGAGTGAAAGGGAAAGGAATTACTCGGTGACAGATGTTTTATATGGAGGTCCACCTTCATGGTCATCAATCTGCCAAAATTTAAACAAAGTTATGACAGCAATTTCCTGAAAATGGCCCTTGTAAGAAAAGCATTATAAAGAGCTAGCAGCAGCAAAAATATCTGGTTCTTCTTCAATCTGGCACTGATGATATAATTCTTTTCACTCAAAGGGTCTAATGTGAACAACTTCATGCAGTTGCTGGGTAAAGATGATGTCTGTGGTTTCCTTAGTTTTTTCCATTTGATTTTTTTTAAATAAAGAGTATGTTAAAAAGTGAAATAAATAACTGATGCAATTGTCAAGTAATAAAACTAGAAGAACAAAACCAGAATTTGTGAAACAAAGCATAACAGATGTTGAGAACAACCGGAAACATTAAGGTTATAAGCTCTCCATCTGGTTTTAAGAGATCTCCCATACGGGTTGCCCAAGCTGGCCGCATATTTGGAACAATAGCACAAAAGAATCTGCAATTTCAGACAAGATTGTTAATATAAATTATGTAGGAGTTGAAACAAAAGGTATTAATAAATCACTCACGTGTAATCAAATATGAGGTCAAACAACTCAGTAGGCTCCCAATTGAAAAAATCTGCTTGCAAAAAGGAAATATAGTTTGCATTTGGGGATGACGAAGCCAGCTGATTAGACAAGATGTCAGAGTCATAGGACGCAGTTAGAAGCAATTCAGAATACCCAAATTACAGGATGAGCAAAAGCTGATCCCCGGAAATAAAGATTTTGGTGTTGGTATAAGCTGTTTTCTTTGCATAGATTTTGGTGTTGTTTAATAACAATTTTTTTGTTATGTTATTTTGTTTTTGTTAGTCAAGATTAGAGAAAATTAAAATTAATTTAAAACTAAAGCCACAAGAAACAGGGAAGGTATATCACCTCTCTTGCTTTCTCTACGGCAACCTCTGATATGTCCAATCCAATAACGTAACGCTCAGGAGATGCAAGTGTTATCACATCATAACCCTATAATAGAGGAATATTCATATAATGCATTTGATAAAAGGAAGTCAGGAACTTATGAATTGAGATTTTAAGCAGCAGCCACAATCACTCTTACCATGAAGAGGGATACAGTGACCTAAATCACTCCCACATATTAGAGCAAACCATAAGGTTTCTTAGCGCACAGCTAAGTCACTTGTCAAGTAAGTGATAATGGGACCAAAAGGATCTTTGTAGGATGTAGTTAGTTGTATCGGCAATAGGAAAAGGCCAAATGCTTGTAATAGGAATCACAAAAGAATTTTAATTAACAAGGCATGTAATAAGATGGAAGTGGTTTAAAAGACGTGAGCAAGAAATAGCTAGTCGGATGCCACATTAATATGAGAACAGAAGTGTCAGATGATGGACATTGTACTGCTTGTATACGGCAATTCAAACTAATATTTGAGGGAAAATATGTAACTCAAGGAGACATGTAGTAATGAAAGTAGCAATGGGAAAATCATGAACGTGATCAAAATTAAATACCATAATAGTATCAACGAAACTTACACTACCACATCCAGGGACAAGAGCTCTTCCCTTAGGAAGAGATTCTGTTTGAAGAAGGTGTTGAAGAACTGGTGTTGGTTTCCCTAAATCCCATGGTGTTACTCTTTCCTCCCAACATCTTTCCCACCCATCTGATAATATTTTACATAAAACTCAACAATCCATAGTCTATCCAAAAGGATAAAAAATCAATATAATGTGAAAATGCAGAAGAGAGATATTGAGATAATTATAATAAAAATCACAAAGCCACTTTCTTGAAACATGCTGAATAGAGAGGGAAAAACAGCGGTGACTTCTATGTATTCTAGAGATTACTTCTTAGTTTTTTTGGGGGGAAGGGAGATTTTTTTTTTGGGGGGGGGGGGGTAATATCTATTGGCACGCAATCAATTAGTGCAAGAGACGGTGTCACACCATCACCGAATGGGGCTAAGACAAGCTGAACCAAAGGGGGGAGGGGGGGTGGTAATATCTATTGGCACGCAATCAATTAGTGCAAGAGACGATGTCACACCATCACTGAAGGGGGCCTAAGACATGTTGAACCAAACAAAAGGTCCCAAACTACCTAGTTTGTAATCCCAATTATGATCACTATTGTCATACACTTAGACCCCTTTTGTCCATTTTTAATACTCCATAATACTAGAGGGAAAATTTGTTACTATCATCTCATATCCTTAGGACTAAGAAATTAGCATAATTTCACCTAAAACCCCTCATAAACAGTTCCGTCTTCTCCATCCACTCCACATTCATAATCTACATCATAAGTGAAGCTGTTCGAGAAATCCAATCATAAACTATCTTTTCTTATTTTTTTTGTCAGAAATTTGGGCTAATATCCTCACTAATAAGCTAAAATATGGCAATGAAGGTACTAAAATCCAACAAGAATTCGACACGGCATCCGACAGAAGACACAATACCGCCGAGGAGGCCATCGTTAACACAAGAGCAACATGCTATCACACAATGAAAGCTTACACATCCATCCAATTCAATTAAGCAAGTATGATTCCAAATAAACTTCCATTTTAAAATTAATCAAAATCAAATTGACCAGCTTAGCTCAATCGCTATAGACTTCATTCACACAATAACCTAACAATTTCTTGGATTAAATCAATTAATTCACCAATTATACATTTTTAATCCAAGTTTGAATTCCAACTTTTCAAGATACTACGTTAATCAGTCAATCAATAAAAATTGATTAGTTTTCCGAAAAATTAAACTAAAAATGCCTCAGAATTCAAACAAAAATGGCAGGTAATTAAACTAATAAATTGAATATGAATTTGTAGATGAATTTTGAAATTGGGGGGTACCAGTGGGTTGGAGTGAAGGAATTCTTGCAATTTGTCAACGGAGGGGCTGAACTGAACAGGTTCGCCGGAATTTTTATGCGCCGCCATGAGTGGTGCTGCTGTACGGTGGAAAAACCGAGGAAGAGAGCGAAATTTGGTCACCCACGACGGCGCTGGTCTAGCGAGAACAGGTAATGAAAAGGCCGACACTACTGTACACATTGAGTCAAATTTTAAAAAATAACTTTTTTTTTTTTTTAATTTTTTATTTATGCAAAACAAGGGGCTAGGCCTTGATAAACATTGTCAAAAATTCTAATAAGAGTTTTTGTTGGAAATAGGTAATGCAAACGGATGCTCGCGTTCGATCGGGCAGTGTTCGCCCGATCGGACGGAGGTGGCTAAGGAAAATAGGTGAACTCTCGTGTCCGATCGGGCGGCCCTCGCTCGACCGGGCGGCGGACTCGAGAAACTTAATCTCGCGCCCGATCGCGCGACAGCTCGCCCGATCGGGCCCGCCTTTTTTCCTAGGTCGGTTTGCTTTGCGTGTTTCCTTTTCCGGGACTCATATAAATACGAGTCTTGCCTTTTCATGTGATTATTCACTTTCTAACCGAAAACACAAACCTATTTTTTGAGATCTGAACATTTCTTGAGCAATTCACTCTTCGGGTTCGGGTGCACGAATTACGGGGAGAGTTGCGTTAAACTTGGGGGGCGTGCGTCATCAGGAAACCTGTACCGGTGGTGGCGTATTTCGCTTCTAAGGCAGTGGATTATTGTTCCACGACGCGACTGTGAGTTGAATCTTCAATCAAGTATTTTTCCTTTCATTTTCTCTACTTTGTTATTGGAATCGACAGGTATTTTACCAACAATTTAGAAGTGAAATAGTATTAATTTATTATACTGTTGATAGGATTTATTCTGTAAGTTTAGTGCTGACCAACTCTTATGACTCACCTGGTTTGTTCTAAGCTTGTCTGATTTGCAGTAAGGTTGCTTAAGCTTTCTAGCATGATTGATTGTAAATCAATGGTGTGTATTTTAAAACGCATGCACAGGTGACAACTTAGAAGATGAGGCATTTTTTGCTCATGATGTTATATCCTTTGTGATATGTATGGTGAGTGGGGGTTAGATTTGAGTACTCTAACTTGTTATGTTAAGTTTTTCTTGGCATGTGAGTTGAACTTCTTGATGCATGTGTGATGTTACTATGGTTCGCATTGATAGAGCTCATTTGCTAGAATGATCATAAGTTGTTGACTTCACATGCATGTTGTTAATTGAGATAAAGATGTATATGTGTCTCTAAGCCAAGAGACAAGTACAAGATAATGTGATAAGCAGAATGGTTCTAGGCAGTATGCCGATGAACTAATAAAGGTACGCATCAATCTCATTATTTTGATGTAGAGAAAGTGGTTTGGTAAATTATATTTATCATGTCTAAGCCAGAGTTATTTTCATGATTTGGCCTTGATGTTTGATTCAAATGTGCTAATGTTTTGCAATCTAAATGATGAACAAACTATTCTTGACGTGTAGTGGTTTTGTTGTAAACTATATTGTTCATTCTGTTTGTCAAGAGAGAATTACTCAATTATTGTTTGAGTTTCAGTTAGTACAGGGTTGAAGGTTAGAGTGAGAAAGTTTCTCAAGTACCTATTCAGTAAATTATAAGAGACATTGATTGAATGAACAACGATGATTAGTTGAACCTCTTCAGTGTATGATTTTTACATGATGAAGGGTGGTGCTCTGTTTCGAGTGAGCTACAAAACAAATTGTTGTACACTATCCATTATGAAGCAAAGGTTCATTAGATTGGATGACATGGTCAAGAAGATGATTGTTGCAAAAATCAATCTCTGGAAGTTTGTCCATTGTGGGGGTAAGTTGATCCTCATGTTCTCTACATTATTTTTCACAAGTGTCTATGTATGTTGTCAGGAACTACAGATGTAGTGACAAAGTTAGACAGATCTTGTGGAGATGATACTCATGTTAGAGTACGTGAAAGCAAAGAATAATCAAGCAGGTCCTTATACTAGGATGAAGCACAGGTAATTGCTTGATTGTCTAAGAGAATATATTTAAGATCCTGTGGGGTATTTTAAATTATTCTAGTGACGAAGTTTAAAAAAAATTGAGTCTACGTCCTGAAGTGATCTGGCTTGATAACCCTCTAATTTATATGGTTATGAAATGCTTTGGTAGACTTGTTGCTTGATGTTTACAGGTTGAGCTTTAAGTGCTCTTAATATGTCCATAACCCAGATTGGGTGGTCAATTGAGACAACTTACATGGACACACCGAAGTATTTTAATTTATTGAACTTTTGTTCTGAATGGGTCTAGAGCCTTGTTTTGGTTGAGTCATTGTTGGATTTACACCATTTATGTTTATTGAATCTGTAACTTTTTTCAGTGGTTTGTTGATCAGGTGGATTCAGTAAGGTTGAGCGTGGCTCTTAATGTCATTTGTCTAGTTATTCTTTGAGCAGGGATTGATAATGGTTCTTAAGTGGATTTAAAACCATTAGCCCAGTGGTTCTTAGAGTAGGATTGATAATGACACCGAAGGTGGAAGGTTGAGCATTGCTTGCTCTTAATACTACTAGCCCAGTTGCTTGAGAGTAGGGAACGACAGTGATCCTTAAATGAATTAGAATCACTAGCCCAGTTACTACTCGAGTAGGGAACGATAGTGGTACCGAATGACTGAGGTTGGGAGTATCCCTTAATGCATCTAGCCTAAGAGCTCATTGAGCAGTGGATTGATAGATGCACCGTCGAGTTGATAGGGTTGAACTTTTCGTTCTTAATGTTCTTATTCCATTGCACAGAAAATCTTGGGTTTGCAAGGTGCTTGAATGTGTTTTAAGCTTGCAAGGAAAGACCCTAGATGTGTTGGGAATGTATATTTTTTTTACACAGACGGAACACCTACGTGAGTACGAGGGGTGGCCTCCTTCAAGGGAAAATTGTGGTGTAGTTTTCCTGAAGTACTCATGAGAGCCCAAGGTGTAGGCCAAGATTGGCGGAGTTGCTTAAGCTCTAAAGTCAAGGTATGTGTATTCAAGGACCCTTCCTCGCTCCTAGGAGTTCAAATCTTAGGATACTCACTAGAAAGTGTTGAAAACCTTGTGCACTAATGTGTTAGTTCAAACCTTTGGATACTAGCATTTAAGTACTAAGACTTTCATTTACTGTTCAGATTTCATGTTGAAGATCCGCTCGCATTAGTGGGGGATTGTTGGAAATAGGTAATGCAAACGGATGCTCGCACCCGATCGGGCGGAGGTGGCTAAGGAAAATAGGAGAACTCTCGCGCCCGATCGGGCGGCGGACTCAAGTTTTTGACGAGCCCGATCGGGCGGCTTCGCCCGATGGCTCGCCCGGGATGGGATTTCTAGATCGCCCGACCGGGCGCCCGATCGGGCGCCTGATCGGGCACCCGACCGGGCGGTGTTCGCTTGATCGGGCGCGACACCAGGTCTGGAGAAACTTAATCTCGCGCCCGATCGGGCGGCAGCTCGCCCGATCGGGCCCACCTTTTTTCCTAGGTCGGTTTGCTTTGCGTGTTTCCTTTTCCGGGACTCATATAAATACGAGTCTTACCTTTTCATGTGATTATTCACTTTCTAGCCGAAAACACAAACCTATTTTTTGAGATCTGAACAGTTCTTGAGCAATTCCACTCTTCGGGTTCGGGTGCACGAATTACGGGGAGAGTTGCGTTAAACTTGGGGGGCGTGCGTTATCAAGAAACCTGTACCGGTGGTGGCGTATTTCGCTTCTAAGGCAGTGGATCATTGTTCCACGACGCGACTGTGAGTTGAGATCTTCAATCAAGTATTTTTCCCTTTCATCTTCTCTATTTTGTTATTGGAATCGACAGGTATTTTACCAACAGTTTTTACACACAACGGGGTAGGCTTGAAGACACATGGGGCTTAATAAACTACTAAGCTCACTATTTCACCAAAACAAAAACTACTAAGCTTCCTTCTAAGGATTCAAAACCATGGATAGATTAGGCCATGAGCCAAAAACCATTAGATGATATACCAATTATATACGTGCCATGAGCTAAAAATGTACTCGTTATAGTGTTGATGGGTTTTAGAGCCTCTGATTAGCTCCTACGTGGTCATATGTAGATATAGTCATATAGAAGATGGAGGTCGAGGGTCGGGTTTGCTTTGTGAGTATGTAGTTGTTTACCTGCTTTGTAAGAGAGGAAGGGCATGATGTCAGGAAAGAGATCAATGTTTATGATCGAAATAGGGTAACTATTTCTTTGGAAATAAAAAGGCAATATATATACTTAATGGATGCTTAAAATTTATTGATAAACAGGCATGGATCACACTCGATATAACTGTCCACTTTATACGATCAAGGAGGTTCCACCTCAAAACCATATGACAATAAGGGGAGTAGCTCGAAGTAGTCCCTTAGCCTTATAAAGTGGATACAATTATATACTTTCTTCAATGTGGGATACACATCCCAAAACAAAATCTCACTTATTCACTCAACTAATGTGGGACAACACACCACTCACATGTGGGCTCAACAAATTGATGATTAAAGTTTTGTATAGACAGACGTGATAAATGAAATAGGTCAAGTAAAAACAGAACAGAGAAAGTGTAAATTGTTGATGTATTATTATTAAAATACAAACGTATATGTATCACCAAATTTTAATTAGTAGTTGAGCACACAAAATGTAAGTAGTTTGTATTTCTTGCTATATCACAAACAAAAACCATGCATATATAACACACATAATTATCAACTTACAATTACATAGGTTGTATGTAGGATAGCATAGTACAATGATAAATATAGTTGTTGCACAGTAGTCCAAATTACATTGTCAACACATCATGACAATCAAGGATTGATCTTATTATTAACTAGCCTTCTAGCCCGTGTAATGCACGGGTTGTTTATTGAAAGTTGTATTGAAAGGTAATGATTGAGGAAATACCAATAAATCATTATGGGGTGTAATGTGTAATCTAAAATATAATTAAAGAAATTAGATTTTTAGGGCTCTAATTCAAAATGAGGCTTTAAAAAAAGAAGGTGAAGGGACTAAAATTAAAGACAAAAAAGGAAAATAAGGTTGAATTGAATAGGGGAGTTGAATAAGAAGTGTGTATGAGAGAGATGAAAATATAAGTTTAATGAAATAATTAAGATAGTGTAATAAAAAATTAAAAAAAATGTAAGAAGACATGTGGCACATCTAGTGTAAAAGAAGCTAGAAAAGGGTAATAGAATGGAGACATGTGTATTTTTCGGTTAGAGTTTTTAAATACTAAGTATAAATATAGATATAGATTTGTGTAATATAAG